CCGCCGCACCGTGCGCGCCGTCCCGGGGCGGTGCCGCCTGCCGGGAGCCCCGCCGGGGCCCGGAGCCGGAGGCTGCCGGGTGTCGTATCTGATCCGAGCGCTGACAGCGCCGCGGGCGGTGGCGGTGGCGCTGCGGGTGCGAGCTCGGCCCGCGGCGGCGGCGCCATTGGGGGCGGGGGGGCTGCGGCGAGGCCGGGCGGACCCCGGGGCGGGGGAGCGGCTGCCCCGCGCTCGGCCGCCGTCAGCCTGCCGGGCACTTAGAGGAATCTGGGGTGCGGTTGCTGTGTTCGTCGGTACGGTAGGGGTCTGTCCGCCGGAGCAGTGAAATGTGTGCTGGTGCACCCGCGGGTGGAGGCGAGTCAGGCATACGAGAAGCACGAGCAGGGAGATTGGAGTTCAGCACAGTGTGAGGATTTGCTGTCCTCAAGTATGAGAAGGCGTGACAGACGCTACCGGAATGAAGTAGGAAGAGGAACATAAAAGCCAGGAGGGACGGAGCATAAAATGGATGATAAATACATGAAGAAGCAGTAAAGGCTAAGAACAGCATGCTTTTTTAATAGGACTGTTATGAGAGGGAAGTTGAGAGGGAACCTTAAAATACACTCCTTTAAATTCCTGAGGAACTGAGGCCCAGACATTGTCACCTTTAAGGCACAGGCATTCTCTACTGCCAGAAGTTGTCGGGGAACATTTTTCAAGCATTGCAGTTTTCTTGTATGTCCTGCTTGAGTGTGGTCGTTGGGTGTGTTTCACCAGTTTGCTGGATTTACAAAAGTATTTGGTGGGGATTTTTATCATGAAGCATACTTGATTTCTGGCTTACAAAAGGTTGCGTTTTCTCACTACCTTCAATTGGTGTTTTTATTTTTTTGTATGTCTGTCCTTTCAGTCTTACTCCTTGTACTAGTGATCACAAAAATTGCTGAACTCTCTCCTAGTATCTTTTGTTGTCTCCTCTATTGTTTTTCCCTAGGTTAGTTCATCAGATAGATTTTACTGCACTGACTTGGCATTGCACAGCCATAATAAACCCATCACAATTTTTTTTCTTTTTTCCATTCCCCTCGGCTATGTTCTTGGGATCTCTGCATAATATGAGATACTCTGTCTTCCTGGAATTGTGTCTGGACCTAAGTCTTGAAGAAGCAGCATTGTTGGAAATTCTGCTGCTGTGGTAGATGTTTAAAATGAATCCATATGTCTTTAGACTGAGCTAGGAAATGTTAGGGTGGGTGGGTGCAGCTTGCATCTAGCAGCTTTATGTGTTCAGTTGCATTTCTGCTGATGAACAGCCCCCAGGACATGAGCACAAATCTTATAACTGCTCAGAGATATGGTTGTATATATATGTATATACTACAAAAATTCCTAAATAGGAATTATTAATACAGTAATGTAAATAATTTTCTTTAGGTGCTTACCTTTCTCTTTCAGCCTCTGCTCACATTCAAAATTATTGCTGGTACTTATTTTGGGAAGGTGTGTGCTGTTCTGAGGAGTGTAATCACCCTTTCTGAATGATCATTCTTGCATGGCTGTGTTTTTTCTGGTTTTCCTTTCCCTAAGTTTCTAATGTTACATTGGGGAAAAATCAATGCTTGATCCTAACTGATGGGTTACATGTTTCCCCTTTTGTATCTGGGGTTTTTTTGTTTTGTTTTGTTTTTTTTGTTGTTTTTTATAGGTAACAAATTATGCAGGCCTAGGACATTCTATTTACATGCAAGAGAAAGCATCTGTAGAAAATCAGACAATTGAAAAGTGCCTGTTCTGAAGTCACGAACACTAAAACATGAAGATTTATGTGTTAGGTAGTTTTGTTTTGAAAACAAATGACCTTCACTTCTCAAAAAGTGAGAAGAACGTACCCATCTTTCACTATTGGAGACAGGGTAAAGAAATCCATGGTAGTACTACTGTGTACTTCTTACTTTTACATATCCACATTTCTGCTAGGCCTCCAAAACTTGATGCACTTACAGAATTATCTTTGCATAGTAAGGGTTCTTTTAGTTCTTCTGCTACAAGTAGGGGCTCTGAAAACATGGACTCTGGCACTACTTCTCTAAAGGGGAAAGCAGGAAATGTAGCAGGATCATTGATTACAATATTTGTCTATCTCATTAATAATAAATCCATTCCTTGCTAAGTAACCTGTACATCAGTTGAAGAATCATTGGTTGAAACAAAATATGATGCTTTGAAATAAGGGAAGTATTTATAATGTTGTATAAATTTTCTTCTAAAATCACTAACAGTATCCTGAATTGGTCGAATTTCATAAAAGGTAGATGCTTATGTGATTCTTAAATATTTATATTCACTTTGAGTTAAGTAAGATTCTACCTGAAATCCAGTAACTAACTGAACTTACTGGGAAACGTGAGCAGGTGGCTCCTTAACTATTTCTTGCATATTTTTCTGAAATGTGGCTATTGATTATCAGTTACTGAGTCATCTGCCACCAGTTTCTTCAGAATGCCCACTCTGATTTTTCCTTTAGTGCCTATTTTAGAGTAGGTGGGAAGTGAGACAAATTCTCATGGATTTTGAGATTTGCTGGTTATTAGTCTTTAGCACTGAGATCTGAGAACCCACTGTTGTGGCTGTTAAACTGGAGACTGTTTTTAAGTAAATGTGTCCAGTTTTCCAAATTATAATGTGAGTCCAGTTACTGAGACAGCTGCAATAGTCAAATGGACTCAGATCTATATTTCTGCTTTCTTATTTTTCAGTCTTGCCAGGAATGTCTAAAATGTTTTATTTCAATCTGGGCATGTTTAGTATTGTTTGTCCTTCAAGACTACATGCAGAGTTATTCACTGCCTTGGAAACTGCCTTCAGGCAAGAAGGTATGATACTTATCCATTGATCAGGTATTTGTCAGGAGAAAAGACTAGTATAGAAGAAAAGAAGACTAAAATATTTCAGTACTTTTTAGAATGGGAATTGTAAATTGAGAAAAGTTATCTGGGGCCTCTAATGGGCATTTCTCAAAGTATCACAGCACAGGATCTTGAGTGGTGATCCCATTGCAAGATTTCTTGTGTCAAGAGAGATTATCTTGATTGTAAAATGTAACCAGTAGTTTTACTGCCATTCTTCCAGTTATCAGAGACACTTGTTATATGAATAAATGCAAGAATGCAAGATACCACATTTTCTGCCATTGCTCTCTACAACCTATTTTAGAAAGATGCCAAGACATTTTGTGTTTGGAACATAAGAATGAAAAGAGAGAGCTTTAGCATTCACATTTCAGGAGGAGTTTTTCCCAAATATCAGCTGAACATCATCTTTTTTGCATCTGATGTGAGATTCAAGTAAGTAGAACTAAAATATACGTTGGGTCGAAGCTGCAGTGCCACTTAGTCTGCAAGTGCTTTGCTGTAGGGAGGAATAGCTCACGAGTCTGAACAGTGATGGACAGAGCAGGCTTATTTGTGTGACAGCAATAGAGTGCAGCACAGTCATCATCCCAAGGAAAGGAAGTCATCTTTGACATCTTGAGTAGCTTCAAACTTCCAGCTGTCTTAGCTCTGTGCTGAAGAAAATGCATCATTGCTAGCTGAATTCAGGATGAACAATGAGAAACTAGATGGCTGAACAGAAATCTTCAGTAGTTTCCAACTCTTAGTGAAAAATTTCAGTTTAGATGATGCAGCTTGTGTCAGAGATATATGTGAGTGAAAGCCTTATGCCAGAAGAGGAATCCTTGTGCACAAGCTCTCTTGTCTGTCCCATATATGCATGCTATCCTTGTATCTTCAATATACTTAGTATAGCATGGTCTGTCATTTTGTTTTTAGAAAGGTGTGCTGGCTTACTGGCTGCTCTGTTAGAGGCAGAGTATTAGTGGCAAGCTGACAAACTGCAAGTTTTGATAATGAATCTTTACCAATTTAGAGCAGATTTATAACTGATTTAATGGCTTGGATGCAATGGTAAAGTCCCAGGTAGATTTAAGATTATGTATACTGTGTTTAAAACTATATCACTCTGGGATTTTTACATTGGTTTGACTAAATTGCTTATAATATAGTGTGGAATAACTAGCTTGAGTATTGCTGAAATCCATGCAAATGAGCAGGCAGTTTGGGTTTTTTGTCCTTTTCAGCAGCACCTCAAGGAGATCTTGAGTGAGCATGTGGATGAGAGGATAAGTGTTGAATATCTTGTGTCATGCTTGTGCATGGCTGGTGCAAAGGCTTTCCTTTGCAGAACATTTTTTTAACGCTTGTATGCTCTGTATTCTCTCAGAACTGAATACTCTCCCAATTCATGTAAGAACCCAGGTGACTGTCCTATATTGTTTTTACTATAAATTAATTTGAATTTTTCAAAACCATGGCTTCCTTTTTTCACCACTATCAAAATTGTTCTTTTGGGTTACTTTCAATTCTGCCTGCAGGCTGGCTTGTACTGCACTTTTCACAAAAATAATGTAGTTGTTATCCACTAGATTTCAGTATTTCACATGTCAAAGTAAAACTGTTGTCCTTCAAACATCACTTAAAATTCAGGCTTTCACTGAACCATGCATATTCTCTGCTATTTTTGTCCCAAACTATGCAGTTCAAAAGATATTCCAAAGTAGGCATGCAATCCACAAATTTTTTAGACTCTGTTGGAAAGGGAATATTCATGCTTTTTCCAAAGCAGAGGAGTTTGTAATTCAAATCAAGCACTTAGCAGACAATGTCCAAATCTACATACAAAAACATAGCAT